AGCTGTGTGCATGAGGAACTCTGTGTCCATGTAAATGCATGATGAAATCTCTGTATACCTTTTGCATCTAGGCGAGTTCACTGATGCAGCATTTGCAAGATAAGCAGGTTGTCAGACCATCCAGATGAGATTCTTAAGGTTCATTGAACTTGGGCATTCCATCTTTGAGGTTTACTCAGTTTCCATGGTTCTTCCTGCCTTTTCTCCTCTGCCATTTTTGGTCTGTAAACTTGCCGAGGAGCACATCCTCCTAGTTTACTTTCAGGTGTTTGGATAACTGGGATCAGACGTCTATGATCTTTGTACTCTAGGAAATACTAACAGAAATTACTCCTTCTAATACAGTAATGTGCAGGTCAGCAATGAACTTGGAAGGCATTGTGGCACTTTATTGGAAACCATACCCTCTATTTATTACATCATTATTTCTCACATTTTTATGCAGCTTTCCATTACAAAGAACATTCAAGGAAACCAACAGTACAGAAGAATCATAACTGTTTGAAAATGATTTTAAAAAAATGTGTTCAGGCAAAAATCCCTCTGGGAACATTACTGACCAGGGAGAATTTAGCTAAAGTGCTGCTATAGCTCTATTCTGTCAGGGAAGCAAACAACAAGCAAGTACAACTGATGCAACCATATGGGTATTTGCTGTGATAAATTCAATCACAGTGCATGTAAGAAAGCAACATATCACGGTAATAGAAGATTTTCTTAAGGTACTTGGGGAAGGGGATGAGACTGGAGCTACAGTATTTCCAGAAAATGATTTATTTTCAATTTAGAAAGCATATTATTTGGAACTTATTCTTGTATGCATTATTTCCCAGCATTATTGCTATAAAGTAGTTGAAACCAGCAGGAGAAGAGGAGATGCTAACACCTCAGTGATTTAGATATCATCTGGCTGTGGAGTCAGAGGTTATGAATTCAATTCCCCACTGGGCCTCCTGAGAGAAGAGCCAGCCTGTGTGGCCTTGGGCAAGCTGCACAGTCCCAGGGCACTCCCAGAAGTCCCTTGTAAACTACTTCTGAGTACAGTGGTGCCTCGCATTATGACGTTAATTTGTTCCAGCGAAATCGCTGTAGAACGAAAACGTAATGCGAAAAGAAAAAAACCATTGAAATGCATTAAAACCCGTTTAATGCATTCCAAAGGGCTGTAAACTCACAGTCCAGTGAAGATCCTCCAGAGGGCGGCCATTTTCGCTGCCTGTGCAGCAAGGAATCCATCCCAGAAAAGAGCGGGGGGCATTTTGTTTACCTGGCGGCCATTTTGAAACCGCCAATCAGCTGTTGGAAAATCATTGTTTTGCGAAGAATCGGTTCCTGAAGCAGGGAACCGATCATCGCAAAGCGAAATTCCCCCATAGGAAACATCATTTTGCAATCGCAAGAGCGATCAGTTCATCGTGATGCGGTTTCGGCGTTAAACAGGGCAATCGTAAAGTGAGGCACCACTGTATTCTCTACACATAAAGTCCTGAAAAGGGCCACCATAAATCAGAATTGCCTTGATGGCACGTGATTATTATTTATTAATATGAGATAGATAGATTGAAAAAAAGCCCCATAGCTTGAAAGACGGGCACAGGGCTGTTCATGATCGCACATTTTGGGGGTCATTAATTCCTACGTTTACCATAAGTTGGACACAACTGGACAGTGCATAATAACAGCAGATTGAGAAACTAAAACAAACATTATTTTGTGAGTTCGATTTGAAGGGACACCCAAGGCAGAAGTGGTGCTTTGTTATTCAGGAGATGGGAGCTGAAATAACAGAATTTCGAAAACAAAGAAGGCAGGTTTGCACACTTTCACTTTTCTACTGTTGGTCCCAAAATGCAGGGAGGGAGTGTGTTGTCCTTGACATCAGGGTAAATTTTTTTAAAAAGGAAATGCAGATAAAGAAAACCTTATTTAGATGTTTGGAGCCTTCAGAAGCAAAAGGATAAGCCATGCAGGGTTGCCTTGATGAGTTTAGGATGTGGGAGATACCAGGATCATGTAGAGAGAGTGGACACTCTCCCTTGTTCCTCCTCTGCAAAGATTTTGATGGGAATTACAATGCATTTTGAAAAATAACTTGCCAGAGCTGAGCAGATTTTGGGAGACCTCAATGTCAAAGGGATTGTGAGGAAACACAAAATGGAGACCTGTTGGTCCATTCAGGTAGGAAAGGGCGTCTGCCTTTGTCCCCACCATTGTCAAAGAAGTCACTGTAGATACCCCCTCTCCTGCCTGGTTGGGATAGTCTTACCATTAAGCATGGTAAGGTGGTCAGTCTCAATGGGATGCCGTAGGCAGGCAAGAGTTTAATGACTGAATCGGTTTCAGTTACATAATGCATTCCTACAGTCTTCTCTTTGTGGCTGTCAAAACAGTAAATTGCTTGAATTACATGTGTTTCAAGGACGAGTAACTTGTGGCGCTCCCAGTCTTCTTGAGCTGTAGCTTCCACCAGCTCTAATCAGCATAAGAGGGTGGTGAGGGATCAAGGGAGCAGTAGGTCAAGAACATCTGGAGGTTAGAATGTGATGATGAAATATTCTCCCCCCCCCTTCCCATCATACTTTGAAACAACACATTTAAGACATCTTTGGGTGGCCTTGTTTGCGATAAGCCTGCAAAACCCACAATTCAGCTGATTCTAAGAACTGAGCTTTGAAGGCAGATACCCACTTGGCTTTAACTAAATCTAATGACTAGCTAATCCCACCAGCCTCTGAAATCTTTGCTTTAGATGATAACCTGTTAGAGTGGGGCATTTGTTTTTGTACTTTAAAATGGCTGAGAAATCAGAGGAAATTAATGCATTAAAAATACTGTGTGAGAGGATTTAGGGTAGTGTCACTACACTGACCTACCTCTTATAAATATATTTTTATGAGTAGAGCTAAAATGAGACAAGGTCAGTCTGGCAAGCAGCACAGATTGTAGGCTAGATGAAGAACCAGGTTTTATAAAAAAGGAAATTCATTGCAAAGATGGATCACGTTTCCTAAGATATTGATTTACTTATTGCATTTATAATCTGGCTTTCCTTTTAGAAACTCAAGAATAAAGGATATTAAAATCAGCATTACAAAAATAGAAGCAAAATTGGTGGGTTCTTTAAAGACACAAACTGTCAGCAGGTTTAGAATGGCACTCCATGTTGACTCTTCTAAGTAATATTATATGGCTGATGAAATACAGACATTGTCCCTTGGCTTGGAAACTTAAGAGCTGAACGCCGAGCTTCATTGGGAGAGTGTGCCAGGGACTTGGCACAACAGTTGTGAAGGTACCGATATGGACAGTGTACCTTTGAGTACCTTTCAAAACAGGTGGTACTTTTAACAGGGGTCTTCAGAAGAAGTTGGCCTGTGTGGCATGCAAGTATGACAGAGTACGCTGTCTGTCATTCAATTTGCTCTGAGCTCAAATCATGAACATTAAAGGTGCCATAGACAGAAGAAAGATGAGCTCTGTTGAATGGAAAATGATATGTGTGTGTGTGTGTGTGTGTTTCTTTTGGAGGCACTATGGCAGAGGGGGCTGCACACAAATGAAAAGTTTTAAGACTTGTACCAGAAAGGATAATTCTGGGAACCAATCTTGTACAAGGGTACAACGCACTGTGGTCTATCCAGCTACATACCAACAAACACTACAGCTAGGCCACTGGTAGTGGCCCCTGGACTAATTTCATGCACCCCTTGGCCGAATTTCAAAAGTCTTCTGTAAGGGATGTGTGTGTGTGTGTTCAGATCTGTGTAAATGCAATTGGCCTGTTGTCTAGCAGCCTGCTTGGTGGGAAGGGGAGGTGAAAGAGTGAAGGGAACAGCACAGGGAGATTGAGAGAAGGTGAGAAAGAAAAGAGCAGCTAACATAGAGCGAATGAGTGCGTTTGTGTGAGGGGGCCATAAGCTTTTGCTTGCCCTCTCCCATGAGTACTGCTTACTCTAGTCCTGCTGACCACCATCATATGACCTTTGACAAATTCCTCTGAGGTGAATACAGACCTGACAGAAAAATTGATCTGAGGTGAATACAGACCTGTCACCCATCCCTGGCCCACACTGATTGACAGCAGCTCGCCAGGATTTCAGACGCAATTCTTTCCCAACCCCCTCTTGGGTATGTCCAGGATTAAATCTTGGACCTTTTTTAGGCAAATCAGGTGCTTTGCACCTACTATAGGCTGTTCTCTGTGTCCCTCACCCACCCGTCTGTGCCATGCTGCAAAACCCATTCTCTGGCATTGGCTCTATGCATTCTCTCTCTGAGGCACCACATCTCTTTTTCAGTGTCTCACTGACATTTGAACCCCTTTCCTTATGGACACCAATTTGCTGGGTAATGAACAATTTTTTTAAAAAACCCACAATAAAACAAAATTACAACTAAAATGGGCAATAAATGACAGTACAGGAAAACCCAAAGCCAGTGACATTAAATTACATTTTCAGCTGAGGCGCACACCCGTGTTTTACAGCCTTGCTTTGGCTGCGGGGAAAAAAATAAAGGCATACCACAATCATCTCTAGCTGTTGGATAAGATGGACTACCAGATATAGGGCCTTTCCTGTGGTAGCACACACCACTTTCAGAACTCCTTCCCTAAGAAAGATTTGTGCTTATCCATGAGACATTTATTTATTTATTTATTTAGAATATTTTTGCCCCACCTTTCTCCTTAAAAAGGACCCAATGTGGCTTACATCCTTGAAAGACAATATTTAAAGCTGAAAACAATGAGTATACAATGGTAGTTTACATAATTAAAAGACGATATTTAAAGCTAAGTAAAATGAGTATAAAGAGACATCATTAAAAGACAAAATTAAAAAGTATGCAAATACTATAAGGAATAAACAAATACCACTCTGAGAGATGGTAAACACAAATAGTACTAAAGACCCACTCAGAGCAGTAATGCATAACTATCCACTAAAAGTCACTCATGTAGCCAGTCACTCATGGTACTGATAAAACGTTTGCCTGAAGAGAAAGGTCTGGCCTCTTGTGGGAGGGAGTTCCAAAGTCTGGGAGTGATAACAGAGAAGGCTCTCTCCTGTACTAGCAATCTAGTGGGAATTAAGACTGATTCCCTTTGGAACATCTTTTTGTTTTGTTTTATATTATTTTATTTCCATTTTGGAAGCAAAACAAATACATAAGATTAAGACTGTTCTGGGTTTGTTTGTTTGTGTGGTTTTTTAAAAAACTCTTAATTAATCACAGCACTTGTTGCACTATTTTTCAGCTTTATTAGGGCACTTTCTGCCATGTTGTTGCCATGTGGTTGGAATGCCGTTAATGTTGTCGCTTAAGCCATATTGTGGAATTTTTTGTAAATGGAAAAGCAGGATCGAAATACTTTATATAGAAAAATAAAACAATGCCACATGTTGGATTTGGAGAGAACCAGACATAGTGCTGCCTTTCTTCCATCTCTTCCTGGTTTAGTTTTCTTTCTCCTTCTCTTTTTCCTTCCTCTCCTCCTCCTCCTCCTTCTGCCCAGCGTTGCTTGCAAAGTTCTGCCTAAAATCATACAAACAGATACCAAACAGAATCTAATCTTCCAGATCCTGGGAAAAGTGGTTTCTGAAAAAGCTCTTCCATGTTTATTTATCAAAGCAAGCAAGCAAGCAAGCAAGCAAGCAAGCAAGCAAGCAAAAGTATCAATAGAGATAACCATGGAGTATGTGAAAAGAGGGGAACATCTTTGGCATTATTTTATAACACATTTTAAAAGTTTTTGTTTCTGTTATGTCCTATAACAGGAAGAGAGACCCAAAGAGAGGAAGATGGAGATGTTGAGACATCCAACATATGCCCCGTTACAGTGCTTCCAAATCTTGAGTCCCCAGATGTTCTTGGACTACAACTCCCAGAAGTCCTGGCCAGGACAGCTAGCAGTGAAGGCTTCTGGGAGTTTTGGACCAAGAACATCTGGTTCTTGGTCCAAAGCTGGGAACCAAGACCTAGCACACAGGGAATAAATAGTGCTGTTTCCTTCTGAAGGACAAGCATTTGCCTAGAAGTAGGGATAGTGAGAACAGTACCTGTTGTCCTTAATTTTTATAATGCTCAGGATTATAGTGTGCACCTTACTGCTCCCCAAATGTGTAGCATAACAACCCCCTTTTCAACTACTGTATCATTCATAATTACACTATACAGTTATTCGCTCTAGTGGGTTAAAGCATGTATATAAGCAGCACACTTTTAATTCCACATCAAGTCTATGTGCATTACAGGAATCTAGTTTTTTTTCTGGAATGGACAGTAGCTGCTAGGAAAGATTCATCAAAATATACATTAATTTCAGTACAGTATTCTGTATCATCATTATGTTTAATGCATATCAATCTATATAGGTAAATGTTGATTCTGTAGAATCTCAAAGGTACGAGATTCCTGCATCGAGCAGGGGGTTGGACTTGATGGCCAACTTCACAGTTCTATGATTCTATGAACACACAAAAGATTATGTAGTATAGATGAAGTTGTAATCTGAGGCCAACAAATTCACTCTCAGCCATCATTTGAAATCTGTAAAACCCATCTAGATTAAAATTGGAGGCCTAAATCTAATTGCTAATCCTAGCTAGAACATACCCATTGAATCAGCTGCTGAATGCTAAAGCAATACCTCTATAAATCACATTGGTTCAATGGGTCTATTCTAACTGAGACTTGCAATTGGGTTTAAGGCATACTGTTATGAGAATCATGATGTCCAACCAATTCACACCTTCTGTGCTTACGGCAATGATAAACTGAAACTATTGACTCAAGAGCATAATTTCAGAAGGAAAAACAAACCTCCTCATTCAGCTGATGCCTGAACTATATGGCTAGAAAAACAAAATTGTAACATAAGAAGAGCCCTGCTGGATCAGGCCAAGGGCCCATCTAGTCCAGCTTCCGATATCTCACAGTGGCCCCACCTAGATACCTGTCTCCTGATACCCCCTCCCCTGCATCTAGCATTTTGAGGTACCTTCCTTTTAAGCCTGGAGATTATACATTCCCATCATGGTTTGTAACCTGTGATGTCCAGGATTCCATTAATTATGTCAATGGGTATAAAAGCCAGCAGCATACCTTTCACTAGCACATTGCCATTGGTTTAAAAGTACAGTGGTGCCTTGCTTAGCGATCGCTCCGTTGAGCGATGAATTCGCATAGCGAGGGGGTCCGGGCCATCGCTGGAGCGTTCGCTCAGCGATGGCCCCTATGGCGTTTTTTCGCTGTGTGACAATCGCTAAGTGATTCACTTAGCGATTTTCACACAACGAAGTGGCGGAGAACAGCTGATCGGCGGTTCCAAAATGGCCGCCACAACTTTTCCCGCGAAAATGGCCACCCCTATGGAGAAGCTTCGCTCAACAGTAAGTTTAGGGCCCATTGGAACGCATTAAACCAAGTTTAATGTGTTTTAATGGGTTTTTTTGTTCCGTTGAGCGATGTTTCTCATAGCGATGGTTAATCCGGAACGGATTACCCTCGCTATGCGAGGCACCACTGTATGTGATAGGAAATGTTTACTTTGACTTCTTAACTTGGGAAATTCATGCCCAAAAGTTATGCTTCTAGTGTTACACCAGGATGCCAGCCAAGAAACCATAGGATTCTAGTTTGTCAAGTCATTTCTGGTATTTTTGACTTTTCTTCAAGGCTAACTGAAGTGTGGTACTGTATTAAATCTGGAAGTGCATGCTATTACCCTTACATGTGTTATTTGTTTCCAACACGAACCACGAAGGGTCATGACACTTTGAACAAGTTCTGCTTGGCACAGTTTCCCGGACGGCATCCATGGCATCAGACACAGGGAGTGCTGCCACTGACTCCAGATTCCCGTCCGCATGGCTGGTGGCAGGGATGAGAAGAATTATAGCCCCAAACATCTGGAGAGCAGAAGGCGGGAGGAAAGCTACTCTAGTAAAAATCAGCCATTGCATATGGCTGATCAGTCTCTCTCACTCTCTTTTAACATTAAAAAAGCTTAATTGATTCTGCCCCCCCAATCCTTTCCCCCTGGCAAAGGGAAATGCACTCCAGAGTAAGGGCAAGCAAATTCCTGCAAGGATTAAAGCAGGGGGGGGGGCTTGAGGAAGGCTCTGCCTGCATTTGCTCTCAAGCCCTTCTCTACCATTAGCTGTCATTTCCACCCCCAGCCCCATCTGGCAATGAGATTTAGAAGGAAGGTTGTTCTTAAACTGTGTGTTGGAGGTGCTGGGGGGGGGGAGAGAAAGAAAAGTCGCTCCCTGCCTGGTTAGTTAAGCATTGCAAAGCACTCCTTGTGTTGCAGCAGCACAACTGTTTAGGCAGTTAATATACAGACGCATCCTCACCAGAAGCTGATGGGGTTTGAGGGTCTTAAAGTTGTCCCAAACCTTCAGCACCGCTTCGTTGCGCCTCCTAGTTCTCCTGCTCCGGCGGTGGGCTTGGAACTCCCTGCTTCCTTCCGGGACTCGCCCTTGCTCCGAGGCATCTGTCAGTTCAGAAACAAGGCGAGAAATAAAGTCAACTTGACTCCCTTCCCTCCCATCCCCCTTCCTACCCTTTTTTATTTCAACACCCACACCGGAGAAGGAGAAAAAATAAAACCGAGGAAGATTTTTTTTTCTGGCACCTTAAAGACTAAGAAGTTTTTCCTGGCGTCCTCTAGGAAAAATGGGAACTCACTTTTTCGGATGTACTTTGGTGGCACGGGCAGCGATCCACGAACACGTATGCCAAGTCCTCTTCGATAATCTTTCGGGATCCCCCCAAAACTCTCTTGGCGGCAAAGGCTAAACCACTCCCATCCCAACCACCCCTTTAGGGAGAAAATGTATATTATCCCTGCTCTACCTTGGAGGGGTCAAAGCAACTTAACGATGGCCGTCCTTGCCCGTGGTCCTACGGCTTCTGGCAGCGCTCCCGAAGAAGCAACCCCCCCCCCGGCACCAAGTCTCGGCTTCTCCCCTTCTGTC